ATGGGGGGGAGCACATCTTCAGCCTTGAACACAGAGAGAATGGAAAAGGTTCAGACAGAACGTTCCCTCAGTGACGTGCCACTCAGATATCAATGTTCGCCGACATAGAGTCAAGGGGTGAAGCTCCACTGTGTCCCGCTGACGGAGAACATTAGGCCAAAACGATTTGGATAAATGAAGCAACTGATGTTACAAAATGAATAATTATTTTGCCTGGTTTAGCTCTTGCAGTTTCTGCCCCTACAGTATTATAAAACAATGGAGATCTGATTCAGACTAGAGAGTGTGTTGTGCGATCAGATGTGTTTGTGGTCTGGGATCCATCACCATAACAATTTAGAAGATCTGCATGTGAAGATCTGTTGGCAACATTGAGAGGCTTATGCCAGAATACGGTAGCAAAACATTTTTACTGACTTGAGTTATTTTTGATATAGCCTGATAGAATGGTTATGGTAAAATTCAGCAAAGTCAGCGTGGGAAGGGAAGGCCTAAAATACTTGAGTCCAGTCCAGAGGATGCAGTGTGCTATAGCACTACACAGACATGTCTTTTAGTGTTGATCAAAATTAAATGCATAATTTAATCAGGGGGTTTCATCAAAGGCAGGAAAAGTGTGAAAATTAATCTATACCAGCACTGTAATTACAGATGTACATGTGAGGATAAGCATGTGAAAAACAGAGAGAAACAGATACATGTTTTCTATTCTAGACTGAACCATTTTGTGTAAACTGTAAAAGTCAGTCAAATCTAATTTAATGGTATTTTATCAAAGCAGCAGAGTAGTGCTACCACTTCTGTGTGTTCTTCTATGCAACAGCATTATTTTAATTCACTTCATAATTATGAACCATATGGAGTGCAATAACTGCTTTACACCAAACCAGTCAAAATTGTATTAAATATTTCAGATCCGACATTTAAAGCCCAAAACAAAATGGGCAAAAAAGATAACAAGAAAAAGGGTTGGCAGTATAACAGTGTGTTTGAAATACTAAGAAACTTGAGACCATTTTGAGCTTTAATATCTGGTGGAAGTTAGAATCAGCATTTTGAAAATATGTTCTATTCTGTTACACTTTCAATTTTTCAAATAATGTTCTACCATTCAGTGGAAAGGTCCTTTAATGGTCAACGTTTATTTTTCAAAGATGGAATATTGACATTGATGCATAGTCTATTCATTATAAACTGTTGTCTGTATGATCAATGTAATGTTATTTTGCTGTACATTTAATTAAATATATCAGTATTGATGTTTGCTTTTCACCGTAAATAATCAAAAGAAAAGAATATCAGATTGACAGCATTTGCCAAAAAAGAAAATACATATTTGTTGGACAATGAAAGGGTTAAGAAGAAAATGTTTGAGGAAAATATTTCTCTGATTCAGATCTTCAGGCAGGGAGTTCAGAGCTGAGAGGCCTTTTTTTTACTGGCAAAATTATCTTTTAAATTGACAAACATCATGTGTGTAATTTGTGGCACAATTCAAAGGGGATCGAAAGATAATCTTTCTCTCTCCATTGACTTCAATACATCATTTTTCCGAAATAAGGTCCCATGGAGGTCCACCGGAAGGGGAGGGACTTCGCCACTCTATTCACCTGACTTCACACACAGAGGATAGGAGCGTACACACACCCCTTCTCACTCTGCTCTTTGCCCCTGTTAGTCTTCAAACTGGTTAAAAAGAAAATGAATCACTTCTGTCTGTTTGTGTAGCAGTTTTAATAAAGCACAGACCATCCAAATCAATCCTAAAAAAATTCTAAAAATAGTTTCAAAATTCCAGGAAATGAAATCTGTCCAAGACTGGAATCAATGATGTGGTGACAGACAGCTATGCGTCACTAAACTAAACGGCCATGTCATGAACTCAGCCAGCTGTGTGATATATTTACTTAACCCTCCTGTTGTGTTCGTTTCCCTCCCCCCCTTACTTTGGTGTTTGTGGTCAAATGTAACCGGTCCTGTTTTAACTGCTATTACATTAACACAAACAAACATTAATCATCACCACATTTCTTTTAACACCCTTTCAAACTGTACATATTGTATCAGACTACTGGTACACATGAAAAACTGCAGTATGCAAAAAAAACTGCAAATATTCTTCTAAAAAAGTCAGAGATATAAAATATTCTAGATTCAAGGCTTTATTGTCATATGAACAGCTACAGTGTGGATATGGCAATGAAAAACTTAAGTCCCAGGCTCCTCCAACAATGCAACATGAATATAGGACTTAAAACAGATAAAAACAATACAAAATATCCCCCGTCAGTGCTCAACTTTTATTTATTTTTGCATTTAACATACTGCTTTATTGATGCATTGATTTTGTTTATAAACGTTCCAATAAGGAGGCATTTGAAAACTGATTCAAACCATAAAAGAACATTTAACAGTTAATTAAGTTAGTTATTTACGATTTGCACATACTAACACTACATCACTGCATTTAAAATGTTAGAAAACTGCAATTACTTTGCACACTTGTATAATGTTAATATTGTTCTATGTTTATATTTGTCTTATTTTGTATTAATGTTTTTTTTAATATTATTTTTAAATCTCAGCTAAAAACTCACCTCTTTGCACTGGCTTTTAATACTAGTTGAACATTACATTTTTATATTTATATGTGTTTTTTTAAAATATATATATATATATGTTTCTAGTTATTGTGCTTTTTATCATGTTTTTAATTATTGTTTTATTATTGTACTCCCATTGTGTTATTTAATATTGTAGTTATTGCCTGTACAGCACTTTGGTCAACTGAAGGTTGTTTTAAATGTGCTATATAAATAAATAAAGATTGAGAAGATTGAGATTGATAATGTAATCTATCTATCGGAATAATCACATTAGAAAAATACCAAACTTGGAAACACATGTTTCTAACTGGACAGGAAATGTAAGGAGTTTTTATTCTGAAAAGTAAATGGACCTGTCAAACAGACGTAGCGGAGTAAAGAGTTTAATAATTTGCTGGTGAGGTGAGGTGGGGTATAAACTGAATACAATGAAAGTATAATACTGTAGGAAATTAGCTACATTCCACCGCTGCAAACATTTGTAAAACCCATTGTTGTCTTCCTCAGGTGGCACTATCTGTAGTAAAGTGTTCATGTTCAGCATGTTGAGATAAACTGCATATTCATCTACTGCACAGATTTTTTTCAAATATTATTAAGACGCACATAAGGCCTAACTCAGCAGCAGCTGCCACGACTCTCTTTCATCTGACTTAACGCCTTTAATCCCTAATTACCCCCACAGTATGTATACCAGCTCATCTCATCCTGCTTCAGGTCGGATTCTAAATTTTAACCCAGGCTTTTGTTTCTTTGTGTATTTATTATTTAAGTCATTTATTTGTATGCCTCGTACACACCCTGCATGACAAGTAGAAACAAGACGCAACAACTCCTTCATGGTGGAGGGGATATTTTTGGCAGATTGTTAATTTAACTTCGTAACAACAGCAGAGCATCAATTAAATAATTCAACTAAGTGTCCAAGTGTCCATGGGAAATAAGCTTAACAACTAATTATTAGGTATGTCTATGATACTGATGTGAGCGCTTTAGATAAAAACCGCAGCTAAATGAAATTGTTTATCTGTCTTAGAACTGAACTGATGGTAGCTATAAAAGTCCAAACAACTATATAATAAATCCACATGATGAGGACCGACTCCTCAAAAATACCTAGAAATAAACGGGCATGTGTCTATTGCCTCTAGGAAAACTAGGTCAAATGTGTGATAAGGGTCAGCTGCAGTACACTGTGTCTGGGGTACACATGGTCCTTTGTGGAACTCAGTCAACATATAATTGAGGGCATCATTTTCAAATAAATTGTCAAACCCAACAGTAAAACTCAAATGCTCTTTAAAACCGATTGTATAGCCAAACATGGCTTTAGGTCCATTCGGAGTGTATTCTGTGGAGGCTATCTGGTCTATTCATGAAATCACCCAATCAATTCAACAAACTCTTTCTCTTACAAGAAAACTACATTTATCATGGCAAGCAAAGCTGGAAGACAGAAAACACATTCCAGAGACATTTCTTTCATGGGAGCCATTTAGTTATTACAAATGATACTCACCAAACACTGAAAGGTATTTTATGTTTGATGAAGGCCAAACTAAATCATTGTTGAAAGTAACATTATAGATGTTATGTTTAACTGAAAGATATTATTACTTTATTGTTTTTTTAATACTGTTAAAATTGATTAAGCACATCGTTAAAATGGCTTTGAGAATAACTCAAACTAAAGGAACATCTAAGTGGAAAATGTATTTCATCCAGTAATCATATGAAAGAACTTCATTTAGTAATATACAACATTACAAAATATAATGTATTGGGGGCATATGCATCTAAACTGCAATGATTGGAACTAGCAAGACAACAAATATGTGTTTTCAAAATGCAGAACTTAGTTTGCAAGATATGTAATAAAAGCAACCTGATATCATAGATGTACATAATGTCATAAAATACCTCTGCTGTCAGTGCAGTAGAAAACATGATTCCCCCAGCCCCCCTGCTGTTACATTTGACATTTGGTTGTTAAATTAAACAAAAAGATTGAAGACCTTAAATATCTGTCAGGAAGAAATAAAATAAGAATGCACGAGGAGAGACTACATTATTTTAAATGTGTGCTACAGTTGGGTTAAGATGATGATAGAGTAAATATTATATTTTGTTATAATGTATGTATAGGGATTACTTAACAGGTGACACTCAAGATGCCCATGTCTGGGATCAGATTAAGGTCACACATACGGTTCACATTGGACACCTGTATGAATGAATTAAGATCAGAGTGCAATATGTTCTAGAAGTCAGAGAAACTCACCCGTCTCTGCTCCATTATAATAATGGCATAAAGTCCCACTTAATAAGAAAGACAATGTAGCCTAATATAAACCTATTGTTATCGTCTTTATTATGTTCATTGTTATAGCTCACCTGGTGTCATTGTAGGCGACATCCAGCCACTCACCGACTTCCGGCTTCATGTAGTTGGAGTTGGGATACGGCGGCCTCATCATCCCGCCCGGGTGCCACTGCTCCGGACGCACGGCGCTCCTCTCATGTGGATGACATATGAACGCGGTGTTGGCCCCTGTGCTGTAAGCGTTCATGCACGGCCTGGAGCCCCAACACTGCGAGTTGTACTTCTCATTAAAAGTGTGATTACTGTCCCACAGAGCTCGGCCAGCTTCACCGTCCTCACATTTCACTTTGACGCTGTATTGGTCCGGCTGATAACCACCGAACTTGTTCTCCATAGCTTCCCCGAAGTCTCTCTCCTCGTCGGGGGGCTTGTAGCCTCGGCACGGTCGCTCCTCGGCTGCGTGTCCGAAGTGTGGCAAGTTGTTTGGCGCAGTTGTGGCATAAGGACAAGAGGCTGCACTCGTCGTGTCCAGATGATCGATCTCCTCTGAAGTAATGCCATCAGCCTCGCACAGCGCGAAGTGTGGCTCCTCCGTAGATGTCCGAGTGGAGGCGATGTGTTGCAGGCGCGAGTCAGTCTCCGAACTTTTGAACATTTCCACCAGTTGCTTCTGGCCGTACAGAGAGTGCTGGTCATGGCGCGCGTACTCCGCCACTGCCCCCTGAGCTCCGGGACAGTTCAGAGGCAAGGATCCGAACAAATACTCTCCTCGCATTTGGTCATGGAGAGCAGCGTCCATGTCTCCTGTGTCAGCGGACTCTATGGCCAGTCCCAAAGAAACGGACACAGCTTTGCACAGCTCCCTAGCTGTTTCTGAGATTGTGGCGCAGGCAGAAGAGGAGCTGTCGCCCACACGGCTGTCTGCGTCTGACCGCTCCTCCCGAGGAGCAGCAGCTGTCTGACGGAACTGCTCCATGTCACAGGCTACTAGCGGATTAACGTGTCCGGAGCCGTACATGTTAGCGTCTGCATTGTCGACTTCTTCCAGGCTGCCCACACCGCTTCCTGTTGAGTTGTTGGTTAAATACACCAGACTTTCTTCAGTTTGTAGCGCCATGCTGGGTGCGCTCACTACCGCCCGTGTGTGTTCTCCCACCCCAAGTGATGTGCAAACTGTCCGTTAGTTTGGCTAATTTCCCTGAAAGTGTGTACTCTTCCAACAGACTGGACTTTGAACGACAAATGTCTCTGCAACTATCACCTTGTGAAAAACACGTTTTGGTGAAAGGTCTCAGGGGAGCTACAGGAGTCACTAACTCCTCCTGAAGTGAGATCCTCGGAGTCAGAGGCGCTCACAGGAGATTTGATAAGAGGCGAAGTCAGGAGAAGATGACTGGAGCCGACACTCTCCCCTCTGAAATAAAAGCAGGGCGTTGATTCATTTATTTGTCAAATGTTAGATTTTTAGATGCTTCAGCCAACGAGAGGTGTGCTTCCACGTTGATTATTTACGTGTTGGCTGTATGCTGCAACAAACTCACCAAACTACGGTGGCCCTGAGGGACCGACGCGCTAGAACCAATGATATTAGCACGCAGGCAAAATAAGCACATGATGAACACATTGACCTAAAGTATCTCAATCCGTTGCAATTGTACAAATAACAATTCAACTTTAAATGAAAAAGATAAATAGATCAATATAAACAAAAGCAAATGATGGGGTGAACATAAATAAAATAGCTTAGGGCCAAACAAGTAACCAAACATGTTAGGGTCCTTATAAAGTTTAACAAATGTTTATCTTGGAGACATGGTTTTAGTTATAAATTCTATACATTTATGAATGTGTATAGTACCCAGGAGTAAATTAAACTAATTAGACCTCACCTCACAGTGATACAGATTTAAACAACACCAAACAGAACCTTTAAAACAAGTGTTAAATTAAAAAAAACATTATTATTTTTAGAACTTCTTAAGTTATGACAGAGTGCATGCACACCCACACTCACACTGTATTTGGGCAATTATGTGATAGGTAAAGTGTATAATGCTTTAGGTTGTTCTTCTGCTGATGTACTGGATGTTAACGGACATGGTGAATCGATAAACCCAGAGCCGGCCCGACCCATTAAGCGACGTAAGCGGCCGCTTAGGGCCCCGCAGCCACTAAGGGCCCCCTAGCGAAAAATGGAAAAAAAAATGAAATGAAAAAAATATATATATCAGTACACCGTCGCTGTGATAAGTATGTTTAATTAATTTTGTTAATATGGCTAGATTGCCTACTCTCAAAGTCATGTATATTATTGAGTCAATAATATAATACATTAACCGTGCTTTACCTGAACCTCATCATGACACTAGAGAGGAGCCCTCTCTCAATGAGGACGGCAGGATTGTAATTTCCAGTGTTCAGTGAATGCAACAGAGGCAAGACACCAGACCAACCAGAGAGTTGAATGGAAATAAACATCTGTCTTATAGAGAACCGCAGTGACTCGTCCTAAAACCTGGAAGTAAACTTCTTCCGGTTCTTTTATAATTTTCTAATCATAAATCTAATCGATAGATTTATGATCGATAGATTTATGATTCGAAAATTATAAAAGATGGGTAGACATGTAGAGATTACCCAGCTGAACAAAACGTGATCTGTTTCTTAAATGTGTGTCAACCACAGACCTTATTTCAAGTTATTTTCCAAAATCCTATGGAGAAATTGCATTGCATTTTTGTCGAAGGAACCGGAAGAAGTTTACTTCCGGGTTTTAGGACGCGGTTTTAGGACGCGTTTTTAGGACACTACGGTTCTCTATTGGCTGACAGGTACCTATCCTGTGAGCTGTGACAATGTTTAAAATAAACTGTCAGTCGGACTCAGAGTTTTTGAAGATGGACATAATAAAAACATTTCTTAAAAAATACGACAATTCTCAAATGGTGGCTCACACAACAACCCCAGAGCCACCACTTGAGCCAGGTAAACAAGGTATGTAAATGTCAGTAAACTTCCAAGTTATGCGAACATGTAAGCAAAGCATACATTACAGCTACGTTGACGTTACTTTGAGGGGGTAAGCTAAACCATTAGCAAGTAGCTATAGCTAGCCAGAGATATTAAATAAACACTTGGTCATACTGTCACGATCTGTCTTTTTGGTTTCCTGTTTTAGTTTGAAAAGTGTTCAACCCCTGTCTTGTCTGTTGCTTCCTGTCTCTGTGTTCCCTCCTGCCTGATTACCCGATTGTGTTCACCTTGTGCCTCTGTGTTTTCTCCTCCCTCCTCACTTGTGTCTTATTTGTTTAATTAGTCCTGTGTGCATTTAGGTTCTGCTTTTTCTGCTAGTCTTGGTGAGATCCTTGACGTTGTTGACTGTGTTCACGGGGGAGAGAGTTCTGCTCTGTATGTTACTTGTAGCCTTGAAATAAAGGTATTTTCTGTTAAACCTGCATTTGGGTCCTGCCTGCTTCGCTCAACCCTGACAGAAGGATCTCACCAAGAATGGACCCAGCAGACAGCCTGTACAAGGTGACTTACAATTTAATGTGCTTACAAAATGACTGTCGATACGCCTCCAGTAGAGAAGAGAGGCAGTCTATCATCTCTACGGCACGCCAAGAAGTAACCTTGAGGTCCTGGTTAAGGGAGTTACTACCCGAGTGGGTGGAGGACTTTTTCGGTAGCCTGTTTCCCTGGCATGCTAGGCTAGCCCCTTGCCTGCCACAGTTCCCAACAAGGCTCCTTTCAAGGACCCTTTCGCTGGGTCTCGTCTGGCCTTTGGAGGACCTCTGAGCCTCCACAAGGCTTCAAGGCAGCATGGAAGGAAACGCATGGCCAGGATTCCAGCCCGTGCCCCAGTACCCATGGTCCCGGCCCCAGCAGCCATGGTCCCGGCCCCAGCAGCCATGGTCCCGGCCCCAGAAGCCATGGTTCCGGCTCCAGTTCCGGCCCCAGCAGCCATGGTTCAGGCCCCGGTTCCGGCCCCAGCAGCCATGGTCCCTTCTCAAGTCCCTTCTCTAGACCCTATTCTAGTCCCTTCTCTAGTCCCTACTCAAGTCCCTTCTCTATAGTCCCTACTCAAGTCCCTTCTCAAGTCCCTTCTCTAGTCCCTATTCTATTCCCTTCTCTAGTCCCTACTCAAGTCCCTACTCAAGTCCCTTCTCAAGTCTCCTCTCAAGTCCCTTTTCAAGTCCCTTCGACTCATGTCCCAACTCCATGTCCTGTCCCGACGGCTCCGGTTCCTGTCCGGCCGACACCAGTTCCTGTCCCACCAGGGGTCCTGCCATCTCCAGCTCCCAGTGCTCCCGATCCCTGGGCTCCTGCTCCGGCGATCCAGCTGACCCCGGTGGGGTCTCATCGCGGCCTACGCCGTCTCCCTGCCCATCCTCCGGAGCTCTCCCGGCACTGCCTTCCTGCCCGTCCTCCGGAGCTGTCCCGCCTCCGTCCTGCACGTCCTCCGGAGCAGTCCCGGCGCTTCCTTCCCGCCCGTCCTCCTGAGCTGTCCCGTCGCCGCCTTCTTGCCCGTCCTTGTGCCCGGCCCCCTGTGTTCCCCAGCTGCAGCCTTCGCCCTCGAGCCCGGCCCTCTGAGTTTCCCCACCGCGGACTTCACCGCCCTTTTGACTTGCCCCCGGGCCATCCGCCCGAGTCGCCCTTCTCGGCTTCTGCTTTGCCCCCAGGCCATCTGCCCGAGTCCCCCTTCTCGGCTTCTGCTTTGCCACCGGGCCATCCGCCCGAGTCCCCCTTCTCGGCTTCTGCTTGGCTGTCCGCCCTCCTCACCTGTGTCTTGTTTGTTTGATTAGTCCTGTGTGCATTTAGGTGTGCATTTAGGTTCTGCTTTTTCTGTTAGTCTTGGTGAGATCCTTGATGTTGTTGACTGTTCACGGGGGAGAGAGTTCTGCTCTGTATGTTACTTGTAGCCTTGAAATAAAGGTATTTTCTGTTAAACCTGCATTTGGGTCCTGCCTGCTTCGCTCAAACCTGACACATACAATCTAAATGTTATGTTTTTTGTCAGTCGATTAAAATATTGAATCGCATGATTGTCCATAGATAATCGCGATTAATCGCAAATTTTTTATCTGTTCTAAATGTACCTAGAGGTATATTTTACCTAGGTAAAAATCTTCCCGGGGGAGCATGCCCCGTTAGGTTCACGATGTTTTCATACTTATTTATACAATATGTGTGCTTATGCTAACATCATAAGACAAAAGTTGGTTCCGTGTTGTGTGTAGTGAGAACGCGCTCAAGTGAGGGGGGCCCCCAAGCCAAAGCTCGCTTAAGGCCCCCAAAAGTCTAGGGCCGGCCCTAGATAAACGCCCACACAAGTGCTGAATTTATCTTCATCTGAACCTAATCTCTCATCCCCCAAAGGCTAAATTGACCTAGTTCATTTATTGTTCGACTTTTACTGTTTGTGTTTATTTACCATCATAAAGAAGTGGAAATTGTCACCATGAAGTCCCTCTGTGGTTTGTAGACTACCTTTGAAGCTCTTTGGTTGACATCTTGTTTTTTGGAAGTGACCATATTTTGATGAGGGTGAAGCCAGGTAGCGTTAGCAAAACAAACCTTAAGTTACAAGCGTTAGCTAGCACTAGCTAGCTCACTTGGTTAGCAAGGCGCATCTGTAATTACAGTTCATCTGGATATCAATTGGGATGCTTATCTTGGCTGGCAAGAAAAAAAGGCTTGTTGTGATATAGGCCTTCGAATCAGATTACAAAAACTTCCCACTACTTCCTTTTAACTCCTAACAAGCCAGCTATGGTGGAAATCAATAATGCTATTGAGAGCTAACATATAAATAAAATAATACCACCACCAAAAAATGGATCACAGAGTAATTCAATCGATCAATTAATTGTTTCCGTCATGAAACAAGGTATAACTCCAATGCAACCCTGTCCCTACTTCCATTTGAGTATGATTCAGATACAGCGGACACCCAGAGGCTGCAGGCCCCAACCTGTGACTCGTAGCAGCCACACCCTCAATAATGCATCACTTAATCTATAATTAATTTTCAAAAGGTGAGTTGAAAAACTGTAATGCCACCTGGATTCTGTTTTTAAAGCATGTATAACTAAGGCTCCATGTTTTCTAAAGGTAGCCTACATATAGTTTATAAGAAAAAGGGCTTACCACTGACCCGGTGTGCGTTAACACACATCACAGTTTAAGGCATATTTATGCGCATGTACCTTTACATATGAACATCTGTTCTCCATTGCCCCAGCTCGTGCTCTGTCCTTGGTTCTGGGAATTCGTTTCAACATTTATCATGATTGTAGATCTGAGGGTTGTTTTTCTCATAAGGTTGAGAACTGATGTTAACTTTTCTTTAAGGATGGCCTTCACAGAGATTTTTATAGCTATCTTATGTGACCATTTCACAAATTGCCAGCTGGGAAAAGACAACTTGGTGTGGGAGGCAGCCTTCTGTCACTCTGACACCGCGG